TTCTTCATAAAAGAAAATGAAAGAACGACAATTCAGATACAGGGCCTGGAAGGCAAGCTGCTTTATAAAACTCAAGAGGCAGAATAAGTGTGTCAGAAATAAGCAGATGCTATTTTTAAGGGAATCAGGGTGATGCAGTTTTCTCCTTGGAATGCTGGCTCCTCTTATGACTCAGCCCTAAGAAAGGATCTTCAAGTCTTCCAAATGTAGTGATCCCCCTTGGGTGTAAAAATTTTTTTGTTGTTAACTGCCTTCAAGTTGATTTCGACCTATGGTGACTCAATGAATGAGAGACCTCCAAGTCACCCTATCCTCAGCCGCCCTGCCCAGCTCTTACAGATTCATGGCCACGGCTTCTCTGGTTGAATCTCTCCATCTGGTATACAGTCTTCCTCTTTTCCTATTGACCTCAACTTTATCTAGCATTATTGTCTTTTCTGGTGAGTCCTTTCATCTTATAATATGGGCAAAACACAACCACCTTTGTTTAGTCATCTTTGCTTCTAGGAGGAGTTTGGGCCTGATTTGATTTAAGAACATTTATTGTTGTTTTTTTAGCAATCCACAGTATTTACAGAATCTTCTCTAGCACCACATCTCAGAGATTTTCTTCCTATCAACTTTCTTTACTGTTTGGCTTTCACAACCATACATAGAAATGGGAAATATGATGGCATAGACAATTCTAACTTTAGTATTCAATGATATGTTTTTATATGTCAGGATCTTGTCTAGTTCCTTCATAGTTCCTTCAAAATATATGTATTTGTTGTGTGTGAACAGATTATTTAACACTTACAACAAATACTGTCTTCTCCAGTTTGTGAGTGCACACATGTCCATTCCTGGCAATCTCTTGTGAACAGAACCTTGGGCTAGGGCAGAATAAATTAAGTTTTAGACCTCATTGGGCGGTCTGAAGACAGACTCTCTCAGCAAAAGCTGTCACTACTTATTGTAAAGATAATACATGTTAAAGAAGTACATGTGCTGTCTTGAGACCAAATGAAGACATACAGATGGCATGAATAAATAAATGACCATAATGTCCCGCCTAAGTGGTTCAGAACTAAAATATCAGGTTTGTTTTAGAATTCTTCTGGACAACAACTACAAAACCCATTTATGTTCTGAAGCAACAAGGAAAACAATGTTTGGGGGGGGGAGAAGAATTTCAGAACAGTTCGGCTGAGTTCTACCTGCCCAGAGAAAATAAAAAAACATTTATCACAAGTTCTCTAGTGAGCCTTTGCCTTCAGTACACAATGTACTGACTAAATGTTTCCTTGAAGAGTTGAAGAAATTGCAGTGGCATTGGCCTACATGACCTAGTTATTCTTCTAAATGCAACTCTAATGAAGAGTGCCATCTACTGAATAATCATCACAACTGCCATGATAACAGATCAGGTTTTATTAAAAGCAAGTAAAATATAACATCCATCTTCCTGTCTCTGTCAGCAATTTTATTGGGGTATAAAAATACATGGATGCCAGTGTGCAATTGTATTGAGCCTACATTCGTAGGGAGAAAAAACACACATATACAGAAAATATAGAAAATATGTACAGAAAATACTCAGCAGTGGCTGGTTCCAGATTTGGGGGTGGGTGGTACATGCAACACGTCTTCTCAGTGGACTTACCAAACCAGGAGATTAGACATTAAAAGGCAAATGAGATTCAGTGTACCACTCAGTTCTGATCTACATCACTGCTCCTGAAAAGAGGTACAGTACTGGAAAGGTGGAAAAGGTGTGACAAATGAAGCAAAAAAAAAAAAAAAAATCAAGATGTAGAATAACATCACTATGGGCAAAGGTGATAGTTTGGAAATGTTTAGGGAAAAAGAAAACAGGGGAAATAATATAAGATATTTTCTCCATGTGTGATGAGGAGAAAGTAGATAGGGACATTTATCTGTTTCTTTTTCTCATAATATTAGAACTCTGAATCTTAAACTAAAGCTCACCAACGGGGAATTCAGGACAGACAGGCTATCCTCTTGGTTACCCCTGATTATAATTGCATATGTATTTTTGGAGACAAGGAGGAAGGAGTTACCCCATATACCTCTTTCCGCAATGACCTCCCAAGGCCGGGGGGCCTTGCTTAACCAGACTACATGTGAAAGGGATCTAGGAGTCCTAGTAGACCACAAGCTCAACATGAGTCAACAGTGTGATGCGGCAGCTAAAAAGGCCAGTACGATTTTAGACTGCATCAATAGAAGTATAGTGTCTAGATCAAGGAAAGTAATAGTGCCACTCTATTTGCTTTGGTCAGGCCTCAACTGGAATATTGTGTCCAGATCTGGGCACCACAATTCAAAAAGGATGTTAACAAACTGGAGTGTGTCCAGAGGAGGGCAACCAAAATGGTGAAGGGTCTGGAAACCATGCCTTATGAGGAAAGACTTATGGAGCTGGGTATGTTTAGCCTGGAGAAGAAACAGTTAAGGGGTGATATGATGGCCCTGTTTAAGTATTTGAAGGGGTGTCACATTGAGGATGGAGCAAGATTGTTTTTGGCTGCTCCAGAGACTAGGACACAGAACAATGGATGCAAGCTGAGGAAAAGAGATTCCACCTAAACATTAGGAGGAACGTCCTGTCAGTAAGAGCTGTTCAACAGTAGAACCCACTCCCTCAGAGTGTGGTGGAGTCTCCTTCCTTGGGGGTCTTTAAACAGAGGCTGGATGGCCATCTGTCAGGGATGCTTTGGTTGTGATTTCCTGCATGGCAGCGGGTTAGACTGGATGGACCTTGTGGTCTCTTCCAACTCAATGATGCAACCACCCATGGCTTGAAAATATTTAAACAAGTAAATAAAAATCCAAAATGCAAATGTTGATTTTGCCATTTTTGTAAGGGATACCATTTTACTGTTATTGTTGTTGTTAACTGCCCTCAAGTTGACCGCAGCTCATGGTGACCTTGTGGACAAGACTTCTCTAAGACCCCATGCCCTCCACTCCTCTGCTTAGGCCCTGCATGCTCACGCTCATGACTTGCCTGATTGAAACCAACCATCTGACATGTGGTCTCTTTCTACTGCTCTCTACCTTTCCTAGCATCATTGGCTTTTCCAGGGATTCATGTCTTCTCATAATGTGCCTAAAGTGCAATAACCTCAATTTAGTCATCCTGGCTTCCAGGGAGAACTCGGGGTTAATCTGTTCTAGAATCCATTTGTTTGTCTTCTTGGCTATCCATGGTATTCTCAGTACTGTTCTCCAGCACCACATCTTAAATAGGTTTGCGTAAAAGCATTTTACTATGCCATTGTATACAGTTGCCCCTCCATTTTCATGGACTTGGAGTCCGCGTCCCTCATCCATTTGTGGGGAGCAAAAGGAGGGGATTAAAATGGGGCACGTGCTCACGGCACGTCCCAGCAGGTGCCCGTGAGCATGTGCCACCATTCAAACCAATAGGGCTTGAATATTGGCGTTTTTCTGTTTTCACAGGGGGCAGGGCGGTATGGATCCCCTGTGAAAACGGAGGGGCAACTGTATAATGGAACTTGAGGAGCCATGAATTTTGGTATTCATAGGTGATCCTGGAACCAAATCCCAATGGATACCAAGGGCCCACTATTCATGTCTGCAACTGGAATATCTGCAGGTTCAATGCAGTACAGTATAGCCTTGTTATCCTCTAGGGTTTGTTTTCAGGATTTCCACCCACCCCACCCCCCATGGATATCAAAATCCATGGATGCTCAAGTCTCATTAAATTCAATGGTGTACTATTTGGAATTTATACTTCTAAAAAATATTTTTAAGCCATGGATGTTTGTGTCTGCGGATGAAGAATCTGGGGCAGGGGTAAGCAACCTTTTTGAGCCAGGGGCCGGGTTACTGTCCCTCAGACAATTGGGGGGCCGAAGCACCAAAAATAAATAAATAAATAAAAATATATTTTAAAAAAATTAAAAATTAAAAAAAATATATGCATGCACACTCTCTCAGCCCCAGAATCTCCTTGTGGAGATTTTACCAAGAAAACCCTAAGAACAAGTAATAACAACAATAATCAATATCACCATGGCGGGTGGCAGCGGCGGCGGTGGGCGGCTGCGGGGGGCGGTGGGGGCAGCGGCAGGACCAGCCTGGGACTCCAGGCCTTAGTTTGGTCATCTTGGCTTCCAGGGAGGTTTCTGGCTTGATCTGCTCTAGAACCCATTTGTTTGTCCTTTTGGCTGTCTATAGGATCCTCAGCACTCTTCTCCAGCAACACATCTCAAATGAGTTAATTTTCTTCCTATCATCTTTCTTAACTGTCCAGCTCTCACAT